GTTTTACACCCACAAGGGCCCAAAATTTTCCTTCTTATTTATTCACTTATATATGTTCCCAAACATATTATAATAGATCCAACAACAAGCCAAAGTCCCAAAATTTCATAATGGACAAAAGTACAAGCAATTCATCAATAATGAAGGTGCTACAAAAATTGGAATCTGCCCCAAAATAGAAATCCAACCCAAGAGACTTTTTTTCTCTCTCTCCCTCTTCCGCCTCCTTTCATCTATCAAATTTCTGCAACCTCTGCTCTTCTCCAATGGAGCTGAATTTTGGACACCCTATAGTTCTTGAGCATATGAACAACTTTCAAGAAGGAACCATTTCTGTTTGAGCGACGGAAATTAAAGTGTTGAAGCTCCAAACATGATAGTCGGCTTCTTGCAGATTTCGAAGCTGTTGTGATGTTTCGAAGATCTGGAAATATTTAACCGTTAGTTCATCCTGAATTTTTGATATGTTATGAAAGAGTCGATGAGGAACAACTTCAATGAAGAAAGCATACCGATCTGAACAAGAGAAAATGGAGTTTCGAAGCTCACAACAAATCTGACGGGTTGACAGACAAATAATAACCAGTCATTCATCATACCTGATTTCTTGAGTTATACAGCTCCGAGGGATCTCAAATTTGGATATGTTGTAGTTCACAAGCTGAGGAACAACTTCAATGAAGAAAGCATACCGATCTGAACAAGAGAAAATGGAGTTTCGAAGCTCACAACAAATCTGACGGGTTGACAGAAAAATAATAACCAGTCATTCATCATACCTGAGTTTCTTGAGTTATACAGCTCCGAGGGATCTCAAATTTGGATATGTTGTAGTTCACAAGCTGAGGAACAACTTCAATGAAGAAAGCATGCTGATCTGAGCAAGAGAAAATAGAGTTTCAAAGCTCACAACAAATCTGACGGGTTGACAGACAAATGATAAACAGTCACTCATCATACCTGGATTTCTGGAGTTGTACTGCTCCGATGGCTCTCCAATTTGGATATGTTGTAGTTAAGGAATTAACGAACAACTTTCATGAAGACAACTTTGTGATTCGACCTACAGATGATGGTGTTATGTTGAAAAACAATTCCGGTTGTTAGGGGAAATGAAAAAACAATTCCACCAAAGAAACATCATTATGATGTTTTCATCATTATGGTGTTTTCATCATTATGATGCTTTCATCATTGTGATGCTTCCATCATTGTTGTGATGCTTCCATTATGATGTTAATGCACCAACGGTTACACCTTCTGCAATTCCACTTATTCGGGCCTAGCAACCTTCATAAACAAAATCTATGAAGAAAAAGTCCGGGGCTACCACTTAGAAAACAAAAGAATGAAGTTTTGGTACTTACGACATGGACTATTAGCAAGACACCTCATTCGTCAACTCCCTCGACTAGAGACTTGGGGGACTCCCACCATATGCTACTACGCCTTGGTACTCAAAAGTTCGTGACTACTCAGTGACTTGGATTTTTCAAGTCTCCAACCGAGAAGTTTTCCTCACTCGGGAAATTAAGGGAACACTACCTCAAACTACATGCTTCACTCACAAAGCTTCAACAATACAGGTTTCAACAAAAGCAAAAATTCAAAGAACTTTATGAAGAAGGCTTTGGTGTATTTAACACAATATGTTGAAATGAAGCAAAGCTTATTTATTAATATTTTCGATAAGCCACAAATATGTACATATACATGAGTCAAAATAAACAAACAAAAGGGAGCCTTCACAAAGGTTGCTTAGGGGAAGTCTCAGCAGTCGGTAGAGCCCCAGAAAGAGAAAGCACCGGAGGGTGGTTATCCGGAGCCTCAGTACTTGACAAAACCCCAGAAGGAGGAGGCATTGGAGGTTCATCATTTGAAGCTTCATTACCAGGTACAGCCCCAGAGGACGAAGGCAATAAATGCCTTTGGAACAAACCCACAAACCGCTGATGATCAAGTAAAACCTTACCATCAGATTCCTTCATCTGGTCAAGCTTCCTCTTCATGTTTGTAGCATAGTCATGGGCGAGCCGGTGCAACTGCTTATTCTCATGCTTGAGCCCTCTAATCTCCTGTTTGAGACTCATCACTTCAGCAGCCAATGATTCAACTTGGCGGGTTCTAGCAAATAGGCGTTGGGCCATATTAGACACAGAACCTGCACACTGAACACTAAGAGCCAGAGAGTCCTTAACAGCCAACTCATCAGACCGTTTGGAAAGTAGTCTGTTATCTTTGGGAGTGAGAAGGTTCCTGGCCACCACTGCAGCGGTCATATCATTCTTCATCACAGAATCCCCAACGGTAAGAGGACCAGTAGGGGATATGAAGGATGGGCGCCATATGTTGTCTGGAGAAGGCGTGGCTGTCTCTTCTCCAAGGTTCAAGTCAAAACGACGGTCGGAGGGTCCAGACATTTTCAAATGTGTTGAAGAAGGAAGAGGTCAGACAAATCAAGATCTTAGAAGTGCAAGAAATGAGCTTCTACTGGTAGAGATTCAAGTGTGCTGTGGAACTTAATGCCAGCCTCTATAAAAATCTGCACTCGACGGAGCTTCAGAAATCGAAGAGGCGTTTGCTTTCTCAAAAGCTGGGCTGCTCAGAGACCACGAGGGCCGATCTCAGAAATCGAAGAGGCGAATGCTTTCTCAAAAGCTGGGCTGCTCAGAGACCACGAGGGCCGATCTCAGAAATCGAAGAAGCACCTGCTTTTGCAGCCTCGTCAGCACCTGTCACATGCACAATCAGCTTTGCGGAAATTACGGGCAATCTGTCGAAGATTTCTGGTGAAGTAGAAAGCACGTGAATCTTACTGTTCAATCACCGCTCTCCATATGCACCATCAACTCCTCGGGTACCACATATAACTTTGTCAAAGATCTCTGACAAAGTTTAGGCACGAGAATTTCGAAGTTGCCAGCTACCCTACTATTACCCATAAGGGTAAAGGAACAGCACCACTGCTTGACAACTGGAAAGTCCCTATGTGTGTCGACCTCCGTGTTTTGTGGCAAGACAGGTTGGCAAGAACGACCAACCTTTACTCACATTCGAGAAAAGACTCCCAACATAATTACTTTCTCAAAAACCGGAGTAGCACCGCTTTCCGAATCTCGAGAGTCAGATCCTCGACGGGATTGCTTGTTCGAAAACCGAAGAGGCACAACTCTCAGAACTTCGAGAGCCAGATTTCCTTAGATAAAGCTTGTCTGTAATCTCCACACGTAATATCAGCTTTCCAGATACCACATACCACTTTTTCAAAGTGCTCTGACAAAATTAAAACACGTGAAGCTGGCAGCTCCCACTACATTGCTGTGACCAAGAAGGGTAAAGGAATAGCATTACTACTTGTTATTGGGAAATCCCTATATACATTGACCTCCCTCCTCAACGGACAGGCAAACCTGCAAAAATGCTCAACCCTTTCTCGCATTCGAAAAGGCACCCTCAACATAACCTCTCGAAATACTCAGCTTTATTTTCCCCCCGATAATACCTCAGCAAATAAGCCACACCAAGAACAAGAGTATCTCATATCATCAGGGTCGAAAGCAAGAGTATCCCATATCATGCTTTCTCCCTGTCTTTGTCTTTGTCCTTGTCCACACCTGCAGGACAAGGAGAAAGAGAGCAGTCAGTCGGAACCTGAAATCAAACCTCCAATTTGGAACTGACTGCCTGGAGCCTTTGCCTGGTTGCTTACTTAGCATTGCTCTCGAGTACTCATCCTCAACTGCTGTCAAGGTCACGAATTCCACCGGCAAATACCTCATGACAGTTGATCAGATATTGGCTCTTTACACTGAAGCTGCCAAGCGTGGATGAGTCACTATGAAGGAATGTTCTGAAGGACCATTTAAATGCAAAGGTTGCACACCACTTCTGCCATGCAAAAGATTGAAGCAGAAGGTTCAACGGTGAGCTGAAACAGATCACTACAGCACGACACCTTTCCATACCACATTCATTATTCCGTCAACAGCAAAAAGTATCCCATATCATCAAGGTCGAACGTACTCTAGATTTGATGGACTTGTTTTGACCCTCAAATTTTTGAGTCGGCCTTATACTCTGAAGGGCACCAGAAAACCCTCCAGCACAGTTCAAGAATAAGCCTGTGGAAAGTTACTTCTTCAAAAGCAAAAGTATCTCATATCATCTCTTATCCATTTGCTTCTCCTTATCCTGGCAGTTGAATGAGAGACAAGGAGAATGAGAACAATCAACCGGAAGCCGACGTCAAACCTCTGATCCTGGGTTGCTTACTTGGAAGTTTGACTGCTTACCTTGTCTGTCACCTCTTTCGGCAGATCTCCTAGCTCGGCGACTTGGGGGACTCCTACTATAGGGTTTGTATCACACTTGACTAAGCCCGAAACTACAACTAAGCTTCAAGTGAAATTGATACATTACCTTGTGCGTCAACATCAGCTAAAGTACACCATTCCCGGATGGAGGAAAGGTACTTCCAGAGAAGGGCAGATGAAGATCAGACCACACTTCGGTACTTAGAAGTTTCGTGATTACTCAAGGGATTGGATCTTGCAAGTCCCCAACCGAGGAGTTTCCCTCACTCGGGAACTTAGGGGAGCACTGTTTGTACCATACTTGACCAATCCCGAAACTACCGAGCACCGGCCAACGCTATACTGTCAAGGACCCAGAAGAGTTCCCCTCCGACCAGGAGGCCAATCACTACTCGACACGTGTCAAGATTAGAAGCCAATCAGAGCGCAGCACGTGTCAACATCAAGAACCAATCATAACATGACACATGTCAATGTGACAAAGCTACAAGTTTTTCTATAAATAGGGGTCATTCCCCCACAATATTGCCTAATGCCATTTTGTGTTAAATCATTCACAAGAACTCACTAAATTGAGAGCTTGATCCTTTGTACTTGTGTAAGCCCTTCACTACTAATAAGAACTCCTCTACTCCGTGGACGTAGCCAATCTGGGTGAACCACGTACATCCTGTGTTTGTTTCTCTGTCTCTATTCATTTACGTACTTATCCTCACTAGTGACCGAAGCAACCAAGCGAAGGTCACAAAACCTGACACTTTCTGTTGTACCAAAGTCTTCGCTGATTTTGTGCATCAACAGTAGTCATTATTGAACCTTCCATACTTTTCAGAATGCCGAGCTCGAAGAAGAGCAAAACGATGATCGTTCAGTTGATGAACTCTTGTCATTCATTAATGGAGAAATTGGAGGTATACCTGAGTAATTGCTCTCTTATTCCTTGACTGCATAGTTATTGTTAATTGAGAAATTGGATTTATCATTGAGTAGGTTGTAGTTCCAACGAGCAAATTGCACAATGCACACTTGATCCTAATGTTTTTCAGGATTGCATTAGCCCACATTATACTGTACTTGGAAGTACTTAAGATTCCCTTAAATGGGATTTGAAGTGTAGTGTCTTAGTCGACTATTTTTACTTTATTTCCTTTTGAAGGCCTCATTGGAGGTAAGGAAATTATGTGTCACAGATTCCAAAGGGATTAAAACTTCCAAGAACAAAAAGAAGAATCGCAGGAGAAAAGATCAGCAGAAAAGCACGTGTCTATATGAGGCCAATGAGCTCCATGAGGTTTGAATCACTAATTCGGTCTTGAACTTGTACATTTCCGCTTGAGTTGTTGGGTAGCTAATTTTTCTTCATTTTTCTTTTCGCCCAAATGTTTTAGGTGTCAAGCAATCTTAACTTTGCTTGCCCCAGTGATCAACTCAACAAATTTACGCCTAGTTCTAGTTTGACATTAAAGCTACAAGATCTAAAGGATGATAGGGTGGATGATATGATTGGGTTTGATGATGGTGATATTGACGATGAGATTGATCCGGCATTGAAGGAAAAAATTGATAGGTTTGTCTGCAACTATTTTGGGTTATTACACGGTTTGCAATATAATATTATCTTTTTTAATTTTAGTGGATGAAAAAAAATATATATATCACGTTGAGCAACATGTGGAAGAAAAAGTACTGAATTGAACTCGGTGGTAATAACTTTGTCGATGATGACTTTAGTTATGGAAAGCTTAAGGAAACAGAATGGTGGATCTCATTATGGTGCAACTTCGTTGCTTTATTTTTGTTTTATTTTTTATTTTATTTTTATGAAATTGAAGATATGCAATTAGAAGATGAAATTTGATACCTGCAAAAGAATTTCAAAGTGTCATTTGTTTTCAATGTTGCAGAGTTTGCTTAAAAACTAAATAGCTATTAATGTAGTGGTATTTCTCCACTTCTTTTTTAAACTGTCCCATGTTCAAATCCACTCCTCACCCAGCTAAGAAGATGAAAAAGGTTGCTTAAAAAAGTTGGTCTGTGATAAAAATGAGTAAACATTGGGGATATTGTTTTGCCTTTGCTAGCTCTTTATGGTGGCTTTGAGAGATGTTGGTTTTTAGTTTTCTGTGTGCAATAGTTGTTTGGACATATTAAATAAATATTTGTTTATGTTTATAAAGAAAAATAGCTCTCATTCTGGTCATCACCATTAAGCATCTGTTGTGAAACATGGTTCCGGCCGCCCACTCTTCTGGTTCTGCAAGTCTTTTTCTCTCGTCGGTATTATTTTATTTTCTGATAAGGATGTAACTGGAATTTCAAGTTGCATCCTCCACCATGGTTCTGCATGTAAATACGCAATTTATAGGGACAAAACTTGTTCTTGCTAATGTTACATATTTTCTTAAATCGTTATTCAGGGAGGTTGAAGATTTTGCTCGGAGGTTAAATTCAGACTGGCCTGAAAGGATGCAAGAGATCCTATCTTTGGGTCAGGAAAGGAGGCCTGTACCATTTTCCATTAATGGAAACAGTTCTTTCAGAAGATATGCTTGTATGATCTCTTTCTTCTTACTTTTTTGTTTCCTTCCGAAAGCTTCTACCATTGTTTTTTTCCTGATACATAATCTCTTGTCACATAAGTAAATCTGTGCTAAGGTATTTTCGTTTCTTTTGGTAAGGTTACAAATGCTTTACATGTTTCTCCTTTCAACTAGCTTTTGAACCTAATGACATGCCATTTTCCTTAAGACCAAGGGTGGAGGGCGAATGCTAATCCCGGTGGGTCTGTGAAACTTACCTATGCAACCCGAAAAGAAATTGTTTTTCAACATTCCTCTTTACTATATGATATCCGTAAAAGCATATAGTTGTGGAGCGAAAGTTGGAAAGTATAATCTGTTTCCCTGTCTCCTACATGTGGTTTTCCAAAATCTCTTTTTTTTTTCTTTCATGGGCTGATTGATATTATGCATTAGAATTTCTTTTCGTATTCCTGGTTATTCATAATTGGCTGTTCTGTTTCTGTCACGTTCTTATTTTACCAAGTGAGGGGAATTGATATGGATATCGTTATTTCCTCCCTTCCCTTTTCAGTCAAGTTAGCTGTGCATTAGCTATTTGATTAGTGATATTCCCTCACTCAGACAAGCTTAATTCCACTAGTATTGTACCAATCCTGAATGTTTGATCAATATTCGAATACACTATTTTATCTGCTTCTGCATCGTTCTACTGAAGGATCAGAACAAGCCACAAACAATAAACTAGAGCACTTATTCAGCATTACATTCCCTTTTACTCATCTTACCTCTCGTGCATACAGGAGTACATCCAGAGTGGAAACGGCTCGAACAAAACTCTTATCAGCCATAGGCTGGAACAATTTTGACCAGATGCTAACAGGCTACCAAGAGTTCCAATTCTCATTTATTTGGACCCAAGCATAATTATTTTTTCCTTTCTTCATAATTTAATCTTCTTATTTTGTTGGGGTAATTAGCTGGAGTCGGATTTTGGGGGCTACTGTTTGGTATGTTAGGGCAACAAATAAATAAAAAAAAAAATAATTTTGCCTTTGTTTTCATGAGCCAAACTTGTTCGTTTATCACAAGCTTGTATGAGATTACACAAACTGGTCGTCTCACTTATTTTTGAATTTGTTTAACAAGTTCAATGTAGTTTTGAAATTTTAATTCATGTCCATTGTTTAGTGGCACTCTTTTTGGTCTTCGTTTAGTGCCACTCTTTTTAGTCTCTTGCACACAGCTCTTCAATCCTGGCTTTCAATTTGGAACGCAGTCTATTCATCCATTAATTCATAACAAATTGGGAAAAATTGAAACTAAAACCATAAATACTTGTGTAAAATTACAACTCGACAATGAACCAAATACATTTCCCACTCATGAATTTGGAGAAATTCCACCACAACTTAAAAGTTATTGCATTCTTCTTCTTCAGGCTCCTTCTCAAACCGAAAGCCGAAAGGGTTAGCATGTCGTACCAAAGAAGCCGATGGACGAGCTACAAAAATTCAAGTAAATTACAGGCGTTAGCCGTTAGCCGGGAGTTTAAAAAGAGAGGAGGACATGTATGTTAATTGCAGTATTATTCATTATGCGACAGTATACTTACAGCTTATTCATCGAGCATTCTTCGTTGCTTGAGCAATGCCACCTTGACATAAAGCCAATCATTTAAACCATTCAAGAGCTTGAAGTATGTGTATCTCCATGACCTGTCAATATCAAACTCCCACAAACTCCCCAGAATCCAACGACAAATCCAAGCCCCAAACTCACGTAAAATCCAGTTGTTATAAACCCGTCATTATCTTCATCTTGATTCTTAACCACTGGTTGCTCTGCCGGCGTTGTTTCCTCAGGAAAACACGTCTGAAGTGGAATTCCACAAAGGAGAGGATTTCCCGCAAAAACAGAGGGCTCATAGGTTTGAAGCTGAGACCCCATGGGAATTTTTCCAGACAGGTGGTTGTTGGACAAGTCCAACTTACCAAGGCCAGATATTCCGAAAAGACTTGTTGGAATTGTACCATGTATTTGGTTGTTTGACAAATCAAGCAAATCTAAAGATTGCAACTTCCCGATTTTTGGAGTTATTTGACCTGTTAAGTTGTTTCTTGACAGGTTTAAAAAAACTAACCCCACAAGATCAGTGATTTCACTAGGAATCTCCCCCGTTAATCGGTTACTTGATAGATGAATACTCTTTACAAGCCCCAAAGTACTTTTGTATTTGGACATTATGCCTTTCCATATCAAGGATGCCTCGTCGTCATACAGAAAAGCGAGACCACTCGAGGATACATTATAGTAATGACTGATAGTTAGACTTGAACTTCCTCTTAGAGCCAAATTAGTCAAACTGTTGAGACATTTGGGTATACTTCCGGAGATGTTATTCATCGAGAAATCCAAAATTTGAATGCTTCCCATATTACACAACTGTGATGGAATGCTTCCATAGAAGTGATTAGAACGGAGGATAAGGATAGTCAAATTTGGAAGTCCAACCCCTAACCATTTAGGTATCAAACCTGATAATTTATTTTCTCCAACATCAAAAACCATGAGACTTGTACAGTTCTCCAAAGATGAAGGCAATTCTCCCACAAATCCATTATTGTTTAGGTTCAATGTTTGAATTGATAATAAAGAGCCCATTGTGGTAGGAAGTCTCCCAAAAAAACGGTTGTCACTCAAATCAAGAATTAAAAGATTTTTGAAATGAGTCCAGCAATCGGGAAGTTCTCCATGTAAATGGTTGCTCGAGAGATCAAGCAATCTTAAATGACTTGCGTTAACTGGAAGCAAGAAAGAAAACAACCCTGAAAATTTATTGTGGGAGAGAAAGAGGGATGACGAGGCTTTCAATAGGAAAGGAGGGACTTGACCTTCCAATTGGTTCCAACTCAAATTTAGTTGACGAGAGAAACATACAAAATTGATTTGCGAGTTTGGAATTGTTCCTCTGATTTGGTTGTTGGAGAGATCTACATAACCAATTTCACGAGCATGAGACAGCCTTTCCCAAAACCAACTTGGAAGGATATCAGAAATTCCTGCATTAGAAATATCAAGGCTCCAATAACTTTTCTGAGTTTGAAGCCAATTTGGAAAATGTGGACCCATCTTGCAAGACCCCAAGATTATATAATCCAATTGGAAGGGAGGAACCCATTTAGAATGGAAGTTTAAAGTTAGTGAGGTAGAGGACAGATACAAAGATCTTAATCTGGAGAGACCCGAGAAATGACTTTCTGAAATCACCCCTTCAAATTGGTTAGAAGAGAGATCTAGATATGCAAGAGAGCTCATGTTTCCAATGACATCGGGAAATAAGCCAGTTAACTGGTTGTAAGAGAGGTCAAGATGAACAAGGCTGGAATTATATTTGGACAACCAAAGAAATATGGAAGAAGTGAGTTGGTTGTAACTGAGATCAACATGAGCAAGAGATTTAGAAGAATTTATGTTAAAAAGAGTACTGGAATGAATTAGAGGAGAAGGAAGACCACAATTAGACAGAGACAAGTTTGTAAGTTTAGGATGCTTATTAACTGCTTCCATCCAGTCAGGAACATTACTGAGATTGCTGTAACTCAGGTCCAAATATGTTAAAGCAGAAAGATGAGGCAGCCATGAATTCAGATTTTCTACATTAGCAAAGTTATTGTATTTGAGATCAAGATGAACAAGGCTGGCATTGTATTTGGACAACCAAAGAAATATGGAAGAAGATGTGAGTTGGTTGTAACTGAGATCAACATGAGCAAGAGATTTAGAAGAATTTATGTTAAAAAGAGTACTGGAATGAATTAGAGGAGATGGAAGACTGCAAGAAGACAGAGACAAGTTTGTAAGTTTAGGGAGCTTACTAACTATTTCCAACCAGTCAGGAACATTACTAAGATTGTTGAAACTCAGGTCCAAATATATTAAAGAAGAAAGACGAGGCAACCATGAATTCAGGTTTTCTATATTAGCAAAGTGATTGGATCTGAGATCAAGATATTGCAAGTGGGTAAGGTTTCCGATCTGAGTTGGAATTCGACCACCAAAAGAAGCATCCCAGAGACCGAGGTGTCTTAAATTGGAAAGAGAACCAATGAAATCTGGAAGCTGGGTCCCAGTGAAGTTAACGGAAGAAAAGTCCAAATATTTCAAATGCTTCAACTCAATTAGTTTAGGACTCATCATTTTACCTTGAAAGTAATATTCGGGATACTCCTGCTGTTCTTTCTGTTGAAGTGAGTAAACTTCATTCATATGATTCCATCCAAGATCAAGTTGAGCAACATGGTTGGTTCGGTTGCTGCAGTGGATGCCAAGCCATTTGCAACAATCTTGCTTGTGTTCTTCTCTTCCCCAGGAGGAGAGGAGATTGTAGTCATCAATCAGACCTTGTTTGAAAGAAAGGAGTGCTTCCCCTTCACTCTCTATGCACCTCGTCACCACCCGGTGGCCAATTGCTCCGAAACCGAAAGAAACATTATAGAATCCAGAGGATAGGGAAGGGTTGAAACATTGTAGAAAAAGTAGAACCACAATGGAAGTGTGAAAGAGTTTCTTCAAGCACCTGATTCCGTCATTCTCCATCTTAATTCAACAAAATCAAGGCAAAGATGATTGAAGAATGAAGAAGAAGAAGTGTACAATCAGTATTGATTTAGGAGCACAAGGAAAGATGCGAGTGTATTATAAGGCTGGGTGACTACGTAATAGTTCACAATACGATCCACACACTGAGTTGTCTTGATTCAGATGGTCAAGTATGGAACATGTGTGAGTGGACCACCTACTTTTCTGTAGGTAGGTGTAGTAATTAGACGTTGACTCTTCTCTCCAAAATAATGACAAAGCCTGCAACAATCAACACAATTCCGCGTTGATTGTTTCATTCTGTTTACATTTTTTAAGTCTTTTTGTATTTTGTGGAATTAGAAACTTGTCGTCCGGCTGCCGGTCCAGAAACGTGGCCTCGTACGTCGGCCTCGGGTTCATGAAGAAGTAGGGGTCCCAGAACTTGACCCCACGGACGGTGGTCCCGTAGAACATGCTCTGCTTACAGTCGACCGCCACGGGGACGATCCTATCGCTCATCTCTGCGAACAAAGCGCTGAGTCGCAGCAGGAACGGCTCACGACACGTGGTCTCTCAGGACAAATTATTCAATTAATCATTCCTATTTTTTTTGCTTGGCAGATTATTCAATTAATTATATTAAAATAGTGAAAATCTTTTTTTAGTTTTCAAATGCTCATCCGTCTTGTATATTTTTTTCACACACTAATGTCTAAACCTTATTGAGTTACATGTATTTGGTTAATTAGTACAAATGAGCATTACATTGTCAACAATTAAAAACAAAATTAGACAATAGAGTAATAAAATTAGGCATTTTGTAATTAATTTTTTCAACATTTGTAAAAGAACTAACTTTATTTGTCAAAAAAATGAGCTCAAATTTTTTAAGGTGCCCCCTCTTAGTTAAATTTCTGGTTTCATCCCTGAGAACCGGGGGAGGCGGGACACGCTGTACGACATGCACGAGACTTTCCCGTCCAAGATGAAGTTGAGTAACATGGTTGGTTCGGTTGCTGCAGTGGACGTCTACCCATTTGCAACAATCTTGCTTGTGATCTTCTCTTCCCCACGAAGAGAGGAGATTGTAGTGATCCACGAGGCCTTGTTTGAAAGCAAGGAGTGCTTCTCTTTCCCTCTCAAAGCACCTCGTCACTCCTCCTGAAGAAATATTATTGAATCCAAGGGAATGGGAAGGGTTGACAACACATTGTAGTAAAATTAGCACCCCAATTAAAGCACGACAGAGTTTGTTCAAGCACTTGATTCCGTCACCCTCCATCTTAATTGAACTAAATCAACCAAAAGACAATTGAAGAAGGAAGAAGAAAAACTGTGGATTCAGGATTTTGATTTAGGAGCAAAAGGAAAGCTGCAAGTGTAGTTCAAATGGTCAGGACTCGTGGTATGGAAAAACACCTGACAGTGTAATGTGTTGGGTGTGAATAAATGTTGGTTGGGAAACTAATCGGATGTAGTCAAACTAGGATTTAGTAGTATTTTAATAAACTTTAAAATCAGCGTGTAGTCAATTAGGAGTTTAAATGTGGATTTTAAAAGATTTTAAAATCATGGTGTAGTCAAATTAAGATTTAGGAGGATTTAAAAAATATATCCAAATTCATGGGTAGTCAATCAAAAGTTTTAAAAGTCCATACAAATCTAGATGTAGTGGAAATGTCAAACATTTGTTAGAATTTTTGTGAATGAAGGATTTTAATGGATTTGAGAGTGGGTGATCTAAATACCCAAATGGTATCGACAATCCTACCCTCCCCCTAAGATTTCTTTTCACACCAAACAGTAGAAAGTGGACAATCCTACCATGAGTTTAGACTTTAGAGCATTTCCCGGTAGACTCCCCGTTTTTCGCATTGTTTATGTATTTTTCTGAATTCATGCTCTTGGTTTGTTCCTCTGGGAAGATGAGTAACAATTGGACCATGATTTTTTTTTTTTTTAATTTGGATTATAGTTGTATGTTGTTTTGCTTCATACTCGTGCTTTTTCCGAATTGAGATTCTCTCATTTGCACTTCTGATTTTTCTAAGTTGGGCTTTTCCCATTTGCACTTTTGATTTAAGCCTTTTTTTCCCGCAAATTAGTGACCATGTTTTTGTTTGAGTTCAAATGTTTTTTTTTTTTTTTGTCATGGTTAAAATGTTTTTATCCCAGGATTTTGCAGCCCAAATATGTCCCTACTCAATTTCGATTGTCATTTGATATTCTTTCACATATATTATTATTCATGATTGGATATCCTGTTCTTAAACTTGAAATCATCATTCTTGAATGGATATGATGTTCTAAAGCAGAAGCTATCATTTACAATTATTCAAACTCTTGGATCAATATTCTCAATGACCCATTCTATTTACATATTTGATTGGTTTGTATTCTATATCAATAGATATATGTTTATGTTCCTTTCAGTTTATGTTCTTTTCATATTGTGTACTCGAAAGAAATTCATTTTATGTTGTAGGAGTCAACTAGCATCCTAAGAAATCCATGAAAGAAATCCATTCAAATCCATAAAAATCTATAATAGGAATCCATATACATTTGTCAAAATCCACGTAAAATTATGAATCTATTAAATTTTTTTCAAATTTATCACTTAAAAAAAATCCATTAAAATTCTCTGAAATCCAAATTACCTCTATTAAGTTTTAATAGTTTGTTAGAATAATGTATTTGCCTTTAGAGTTAGGCATGAATCGTACATCGCATGGGCCGCTTTCTTTAAAGTCAAAAGTAAAAGGGGCAGGCAGATATATAATTACTCAAAAACGTGTTTGTTGTTATTTTGTGTACATAAGGAAGAGGACTTTCGTTGAATTGGGGAGAATCCATGCGTGGGACTGTGGGATGAATGATTCCCACTATTCTCTCTCTTGCTGTCTCTAGTTATGTGTATGTATATGTTTGGTGAATCGATAGGCCAAATAAAAATGTGTTAAACTATTATTTCAATACTTGCTGATGAGTCAACATTATTCTATATTTTTACCATAGTCTTAGATATAATTTATTAACTATTTTGGTATAATTTTAATACTTTATTCTATATTTCGTTTGTAGGGAAAAAAGTTATCAAAAAAAGGAATTTGAAGTAATTATGTGTGTTTGTGATCTTTCAAGTTAATAGTGTAAAAATTCAAGATTTTTATTCCATGCCATTTGACTGTAGCAAAGAAAAGAAGGTTGACTGCGCAGTGCTGTCAGTTTGAAATTTTGGGCTTAGTTGTTCTATAAGCCGGTCAAGATGGTGATTTTTAAGGAAGGTTCCTTCTACAAGTTTTGAGGGACATACAGATTTTTCTAACGCCACCTTTCTGGGCCTGATTTAGTGTTGATATGATTATGAAACTAGAAACCCAATTTTCTGACACACCAAATTGTACAGGCATATAGAACTCAACATAAGGATTAACTTTTATAACTATCACGACAATCAATTCTAGACGGCAACTGACCAAAATCACCGGCCAAAACCAGCTTTATAGGTTTCTAAACATCCGACTCCAAAACGACTATTAATGCAGGAACAAAGTATACCAACTTGAAGATCGTGAAGAGTAGATGAAGGTTGTGAAACCCTGAAATTATTAATGTTTCACAAGTAGTCGTTATTTCGGACGACTAAGATATCGGAAAAAAATATTATTTTGATTGAGAACAATTGATGATCCGGAAATAGTAGGATGAAACTAGTGGTGATATGATAGTATCTTTCGGAATATTTGTTAGTTTAGAGGATGACCAAATGATTGACATTTGGCAACGACAAATGGTTGACTTGGCCACGTGACAAATTGATAGCTAGCCACATATGAAGGATGACATGGGGTCACATATGAAGGATTTTGATTGGACCACAAAGAAAGAGAAAAGAATGAAGAGGAAAACAACATTTGTTTTCCTAGTTTTCAGATCCGAAGAAAAAGAAGGAAAGTGAGACAGAGGGAACTTTGTAGCCTTCCAACTTCTTTACTGTATTTTCATAACTTGAGTTAAGTCGGATTACAGTACAATTTTCACATCAGTGATCAGGGAGTCGAATCCAAGCATCTAAGGCTGCAAATCAATTTAGAGAATTAAGGGATTCGTGAAATTTACGTGAAGTTGAATGGTGATTATTGTATTTTAGTAAATTCTGATTTATTGTGTAGTTGACTCGTATATTAAATAAATCAATTTTCCATTCATTTCAGCTTACCAGCCTATTTATTCTTCTGCATCATTTTTAAATGAGCTAGTTTTCAAACCTGTTTTAGTTTCTTTTTATTTATTTTATTTTTATTCACACACGGGCCCGAGATCATTTCTTTCACTCATTTCGAGTCCAGGACGTGACAATACTTCACTCGACGAAAATAGTTGCCGAATTCACGGTAAAAAGCGGAACAAAATCAAAATTTTCACAATGCAAAATAAAAAATTCCATGGTATTAGAAAGAACAACTTTTTCATACAAGAGGAGACAATAAGTGATGAACAAAATCAAAATTTCTACAATGCAAATAGAAAATGTATTGACTTGAATTAGTGATTTTTTGTCTTCATATTTTTACATGTATTTGCCTTACCCTTTGGCATGAATCTTTCATATGCTGCTTCCTCAAAAGTAAAAATATAGTGCGCAAATTGTCGACATTGAGACAAGGCCACAAAATCAAATACAAGTTAAGTACACTAGTAGTTGTCCGTCATAATTTTAAAAGTGCAGTCACCAATCTCCGTCTCCAACTGAATGGTAGATGCAGGAGTGTCACCAAGATATGCATGAGCCAAAAAGATGCTGCTAAAACTGTGGAGCCAAAAGTAATCATAATGCGACACGTGGATTTTTGGATAAAAGAGGATAAAAATACCCTTGAGGTACAACGAGATTCCTATGCACGAGCAGCGAGCAATCATCCTTCAACTAAATCAAAAGTGCCCAAAATAGGTAACAATTCAAAACCTATCTCATCAAATCCCTTCTACAAGGTAACTCCCAAAACCTATTTCATTCCATATATTTTCTACCTCATTTTTCCATTTTTAGCTAATCAATTAGCTAATTATTTTAATCATTCCATAACTCCCCAAATAATTTCTTTCAAAATATGTCAATTAGTCCA